CAAATTTGTGTTTAAAGGCAGATATACAGAAAAATCTTGCTACAACAAGCTTTTGGAGACCTGAGGAAAAGTTTGTTATGCTATTAAATTACTTGTTCTAGAGAGATTTTCCAAATTGGTCATCAGACATATTTTCACATCATAAGACCTGCGTATAATGAATTAGATCTGGCTTTTCTGGCATCATCCATTTTTTTAGTAATTATTTGAAAAACGTGGTGGTCCTCTGGAAAATCACCCAGCAGACAATGTGGGTGTTTGTGTCCAGGGCATTGTTGGCAACTCTAGTTGGTTGATGGTTTTTGAATTAGTATCCAAAATCAGGTAGGTTACAAGTCCAATGCCGTCAAGTCAGCCCATCCTGATCAACTAGTTTTGGAACAATGTCCCAGCTAGTTTTCACAATGGCATGGATGAGAAGCTTGGCCTTGCACTCTCATTAATCTATTCATCCTGTGATGATCATGAGTTGAACCACTTTGAGAAGCATGTTTGTCTTTGAATACACCATATTTCATAAAGTCTAAAGAATCATTTAGAATTTTTGGATTACATATTTCTTTGTCTGCCTTAGTCAGGAAATTTCTTCCTGGATAATCTACTGAGCATTCCTCAAAAAAGTTTGCTATACTGGAATTGGGAAGTTTGTTATACATAGGTGGCACCTTTCAATTCAACTTCCTGCAATGGCAACGTTTTACATTTTTGTACTGATATTTTTGAATTTCACGATGTGTCTTGCAATTTGAACCTAGTTCAGCAACCCATTAGAGTCAAACTGCCAGGTAATGAGGTAACACCTGTGACAAGATTGTTTTAACCTGTACTCTGTGAGCTTTCTGCTGGAACTTGAAAAAAAAGCTTGTTATACCAAAACATGTGTTTCAACAGCATTTGATGTAATGATATTTTTTGTAAAATATAGGATGATGGATGAACAGAACACTTTATTTGCCACTTTTCAGCGTTCACAAGGTTCAATCAAGATTTCCACAATACCAAACCCCCTTCCCACCCAACTCAAATACACTCAATGACATTCAATCACTTCAGAGCAGCAGGAAACAGAGCACAAATTGATAAGAAAAATAAAAGAAAATACAATCCATGAAATAAAACTGAAAATCTGACATGTATGCATACACCCATTCATTCCCTGACATTGGAAACAAAATATATGTAAAAATTAATTTAAAGCACAAGGTTTTAAGCTTTTCGTTTAAATAAAGAGTTCTGTTCATTCATTCATTCAAAATAGGATTAATGCCACGCAATTTTTCACCATTTACCCGGAAATAAAATCGACAGGAAAGGAATTTCCGTTGTTGTTTTTTCTCTCTCTCTCTCTCAGAATACATCAAGAAATTGGAACCGGGAAATGGGTTGATAACCATTTGGCCTTGCTAGACATCCATGCGTGAAATATTCCTCTTTTTGTCCATATCTATGAATTATTATTTTGAAGGAAAGGAGGAAAAGAATCGGTTGATTTCTCTCATTTCCTGTCGCGATTCGTCAAAATACTGCATCTCAAAGTTGCCCGAGGGAGTGTGAGTGTTTTTTTTGCCTTCTTTTCTTTTATTCCACATTTTCTTTTGGCGGTGTTTGAATACGTATACGTCGGCTTTTGTTCTCTTTGTTTGTCGTTTTTTTTTTGTTTGTTGATTGTGAAATTAAAAATAGTTTCCTTTTTAAAGCGAGTGTTTTCCAGCCAACCGTGGCGAAATGGACGAGAGCGAAAAAAGTTCACGGCTCGAATACGTTTGCCCGAGCTTTCGAAGTTTAGACAGGTGTTCTTTCTTTCCAATCAAAAGGAATAAGTGCGTGAAAATTGACTTGATGCGACTGAAATTCATCATTGCGTCGATTGAAATACGTACAAGGTTGAGGAAATTGAAATGAGCACGTCAATTTTTCCTCATGTCCGACGGTTTTGAAGCGCGATACTATTTTTTTCTACTTGCCTTGATGGGGAGAAATAACGGGGTTTTTTCATTTCTCGTGTAAAACGACTTGAAACAGTTATATTCAACATGACTCCCTGAAACAAAAAATTAGAAATCTGCATTTTTCATTTTTAAAGCACTATAATCATTGTTACGATTGTCAGTTGATGTAAAAAGTTTTTTATTTCACAGGGCTTCAGCAAAATGCATGGTTCACAAATGAAAAACAAAAATTGAATTAATTCTTGTTGGGCATGCACGCCATGTACAGTAACGTACTCTAAATAATTCTTAGAAGTAAGAAGTATTCCCCCCTCCTCAAAATTGCAGCATCCTTGAAATTATCTTTCTTGCCCTAACTGTACAACCTTGTGTAGGTTAATTATTATTGGTAGTATATAAGCTGCTCCTTTTCCATGTATCAATCAGAATCAGTTCAGTTCAGCTGTGTTATTCAAGTTATCCTCAAGTTATTCAAGTTACTCCTGCAAGTCAAGCTCATTGAGTCACAAATTCATTTATATCTGTGTTAAATACACTTTACTCTTTTTTAAACCAGGAATTCCTAAATGGAATCCCAGTCCTGTCCCAGACTGAGTAACGTGTTTTATTTTAATCTTGATGGCACTTGACATCAAATTATATTGGAGACATTTGTCCTCAATAATTCTGTCTAAACTCAGAATTATTCAGGGGTTTTCAAACTTGAATGCATAATGCATACACAGTAATTCAGACAAAATAATGCAATTTCTGCATCAGTATATTGACATTAAGAAAAACTTTCTAGACAAGGAGCCAATTTTTCTCAGTGTTTTGGAAATCTACCAAATATTTAGAACATGATTTATACAATCATGAAATTTCCCGAACAGTCAAGGAATCCAACGGGTCATGCAATTTTTAATTATATTCATGATGGAAAAGCATTGTTTATTTTGTGCATTAAAAACTGAGAAAATTTTGCAAACATTTGAAGAAGAAGAGGTTCAATTTTTTCAAAAATAAATTCATATTCTCATTCAGGAAAATTGTCAAGTTTTAGAAGCCAATTGTCAAGTGCTTGAGGAGATATTTTTTGCAGAATTTCATCTTTGTGCCACAAAATTTTTTTTAGAGCATTGCATTTCATGTGTCACTTTTTGTCAAAATCGCAACAAAAAACGAGACTCACACGTTTGGGGCTACCATTTGGTTTCTTATCTGAAAACTTTGTGTCAAACATGATGTGATTAAAAATGTTTTCATTGAAGCCTTTGCGAAAAAACATTCAAAATTCAGATAATCTGACCCGTAGACCCGATCTGAAAAGTAATTGCGTCTAAATCTCTGTGACCTGAACTGCTACTTGAAAATTATTAAAATATGACACTTTAATTTTTTAAAAAATATTGCGACAAGCGAAAAGAAAAATGCAATTCGATGAAGATGAATCTGGTGATTGGAAAAATAAAATGACATGTGGAGGTGAATGCTTAATCAAAATAAACGAAGCGATCCGCCTTTAAAATTATTCTCCCGTCCTTCCAACGGATGCGTAATTAACATTCGAAACCCCTTTCAGCAGTTCGACTCATCCGTCAGGCAAAAATAAAATAACGGCGAGAAGAAAAAATTCTCTTGAAATGGAAATTACAGTCTTTGGAAATCCGAAAAACGCGTGGAGACGAAATATTTTCCCCCATGACAAAGCTTTTGAAAGCCTTCCTTTGTTGCTCACTAAATAATGATGATGATGATGATGACGGCACGTGGAATTTCTGCCTGATTAGCCTAAACAGGTCTCCTTCTCATTCATACTTTTCTTTCCCTATTATTATTTTTCAGGAACATGAAAAAGAAAAACTACTAAACGAGGAAAAAAGGGGACGATATAAATGAACGAAATCCTCACAAAAGAATTCCGTCGTGTTTTGAATCGCGTGCCGTGAATGTATTTCCTTGGCGCGCATCTTTTTTTTTTATTATTGTTATATTCTGTTCCTTTTTTATGCTGTTTCCAAAGTTAAATCTCTCGCTTATTCTCGCAGACAACTTTTCACCGCAGAATTTCCTCGAAAAGAAAAGGTTGTCTCCGAAAAAACTTTTACATAAGCGCTGCTGGAGCTAAAAGCCAGGGGGAGTGCTTTTTTTGCTCCAGCTCACAAAGAACGCAAGAACTCATCTAAAATTAGCGAGCGACAGATTATTAATTGCATGATAGAAGAAATGAAAAATCAACACAATGCCACTCTAGATGCAGTGTTTCGCAACATTTTGCCCTTATTTACACGGGTTTCAGACCAGTTTTTCGAGGCATTTTTGCGTAGAATGCCGTTCTGTTCGATATACACAAAATGAGGATGTCGGGAGGGTTGAACTGATGCCGAATCCAAATATTTGAAAAAAATGTTGTAATTTGAAAATTAATTTCATCGCCTTCCCTATGATGTTTCACGCCTTCGGTATTTTTTTTACAGTTTTTAAACTTTTGGAAAATTTCAGCACAATTTCTTAGGAATAGAAAACTATGGCTATGAAGGGAAATTTTTCCCTCATCATGCAGCTAACTGAAAAACAGCGTCTTAAAAATCTGAAAAAAATTCCCTAAAGTCTAAAACATCATGGGAAAACCAATGGAATTTATTGATAAATTTTAACTGTCGTGATAATTTTTCAGCAAAAATTTTACCGAGTATAGAAAACTTAGACCGTAATCAGAAAATTTTCACTTCTCGTCCTGCAATGAACTGAAAAAAGGTCTTAAAAATATGAAAAACATAAAAAACCGCTTCAGGAATCTAATAAGAAAAATTCAAAATTTTCAAAATTTTATCCGCAATAAAAAATAAATTTTGAACACGGTCGTAATTCGTCAAGTTTTGAAACTTCACGACGTCGGATTGAAATTTCCGCCATTATCGCCTCGCTATATTTATAACGAAATATTCCATCAAAAATTCCGTTGAAAAAAGCGAGGGTATTTCGAGAATGAATTTTATATTCCCTGAAATAAATGCAGCTCCGTTAAGCATAAATATTTCGCTGCAGTGAAAAAGAATTTGATACGACAACCATTCATTAGGTACTGAGGCGACGTGGCACTTTTCCGAACCAAAAGTGGAATAATCGTCTTGCTTTCAACTAAAAAAAAAAAAACTGAAGAAAAAAACCCCAAGAAGGAGAAATAAAATTAAACCTTCAATGGCAGCGGAAAAAAATAGTAATCCCAAAATAACTTCGAATCTGAAACCACGAAATATCGAGGAAATCGGGACATTAAATTTCGGAATTTCCAGGGAAACGAGTCATTTACTTCAGCACCGAAAAAAACGATATATTTTTGATTCTGAAATGGAAGTTTAAATTTTAAATGTCGACCGTTTCATGCCACACAATTGTGAGAAAATGTTTTTATTTTCTCCCTCGAATTTTACTTCACAGTACTGTATTGTACTGTAATTTTCAGAAAAAAATTTTTTGTATATATTTCAAGGAAAAGGCATTTTTGAGCAAATTTTCGAGTGCCTTGAAACCGCAAAAACCTCAATCGCTTTCATTCTATTGTTGCGTTTTCAAAACAGTCTTCTGTTTTGGAAAGGCTGAAACTGACCGAAAAGCTATAAAAAGTTCGGAAATTATATATTTTTGAAGGAAACAAGTATTTCGCAACTGAACCCATTTCTGTTGGGTTTTTCATTTCGTTGTTGTCTTTGCTGGACAATAGCAGGGAAATCCAGGTTAAAATCCATCACCCAGAAAAGAAAAGAAAAAACTCGTGCATCTCTCCAGAGAAGAAGAAGAAGAAACCGTGTCAGCTCATTATCACCTGACTTTGTATTTATCCCCTGTGTGTGTGTGTGTGTGTGTGTGTGTGTTTTTTAAAACACAGGTGTGAAAAACAGCTGTTGGAAGAAAATTCCTGGAGGAAATGGGATAATTTCCGAGGGGAAAAAACCAGACCGAATAACACCAGCCTGCGTAACATTGACCGCGTTATTAGCATCCAACCACTTAATTGCTGTCTGCGGTTTTTCTCCCTCATCGTGTGCACAATTTTCCCTTCTCTCTTTTCTTTTTCTTAAATATACAATTTCACCAAGAAGAAAAAGAAGAAGAAGGTTGGCAGAAAAAATGCTGGCAATTTCTCTCTCATCGGGAAGAGAAAAAAAAAGCAAGAGATTTTCTGTGGAGTCTCATTCTCTTTGTCGTATAGTCTTCCCACGTCCTCAAACACGTATAAGAAGTACATTTAGACACACATGGACTGTCTTCATTTTTCTTCTTCTTCTTCTTCTTCTTCTTCTTCTTCTTTTTTTTTATATTTTGTTGAAAGAAAAAAGATTCATCATGACACTGAAACACCTTTTGTTTTGGCTGCTGGGTGACGAACTTTGCTCCAGTTTCCAGTCATTTGTCTTGAGCACGTACATATTTTTTTTGTTTTGTTTTTTATTTTATTTTTGAAGGCAAAAACGATGATAATGATGGACCTTGTCCCACATTTGAACTCGTTCATCAACGGAAGTACATCCGATTCCGCTTCTTTTGGATCATCAATTCAGAATCATCTTCGCCGAATATACGGACGAAAGCTTTTTCTATAATTACGAAAAAATAAAGAAGCAAAGTTTTATATTGAATGTTGTTTTAATCATGTTGGAAAATTTTAGGAAGCGATGTATATAACTTTAGATGATTGATACTTTTTGCCAATTTTTTTCTGGAACAATTCGAATCAAATTTTTTTTTTAAACGCAGAATGAATTTCTAGAGAAACAGATTTCAAAAGTAATCAAGGATTGATCTCGTGAACCAGTAAAATTGATTTCATACTTGAGTAACCCTCGGAAACTATCTCGAAAATTCTTTTTTTTTCATAAAACGTTTTTGCCAAGATAGAATCGAAAAACCGCGGGTTTTCTCAGCTTATTTTCACGTTCCATACAAATTTATTCCTGGCAGTCATTTTCCATGTTTAAAATGAGGAAAACGCATTCTTAATCAAATATTTTTCAGTTTTTTTCTCGAGTTTCTCCTAAATATTTAAAAATGACAAATTTCCTTATTGCATGAAGTCTAAGGGAAAAATGTGACCCAGCATGTTCTGAAATCAGGAAGTAGTCTGACCAGAAATTCGTCTTGACAAACAGATCATGTAAAATCAAAAAAAAATGTATTTTGAATTAGTCAAAGAAAGTTGCATAGTTGAACCTTGAAACTCAAACCCCCGTCTTGAAATATTGAACTGTCGTAAATTTCAGGTTTTGTATTACTTTAGAAACAATACATTGAATATCTCCATGACACAAATTTTCTGGACGATTTTCGCCATTTATTCATGTGACCCAGGAAAAAAGTACGAAAATTGTAACTTCGTGAATTTTTGAAAATAAATAAAAAACTATAATTGGGGAAATGATTCACTTTCTACACGTTATAGACATGGCAAAGTTCAACTTCTTTGAAAAGCAGTTCCAAGCAATAAATTCAGCAATCTAAACTCAATTAAAATATTACTTCATTCACAAAAGAAAAGGTGGTTTTCTCAACTCGGAACCTCGCTACGGTACGATTTTATTTTGTTCGTGCCTTTGAATTCAACATGAAAATGTTCAAATTTCCCTGTTTTCCTCAAAATTAAAAAATAAACTAAAATCTTCACAGAAAAACCTTTCCAAACTTCATTTGAATCCACACGAATCAGTCGAAAACTGCGGTCGACGAAGACGACTCAAAATTTAGCTTCGAGACCACTAAATATCAATAATAATAAATGCCAGAACCCATTAATGAAAATTTGGAAAACAACAAAAAAGAAAAAAGAACAAGACCAGTTATTGTCCACACTTGGCCTCTTCACCAACAACAAAGAAAAACACTTCGTCACAAATCGCTGAACAATTTCTCCAGTTTCACTTTTTCCGTCGAAAAATAAACACCGCAGATTTTTTCGCACTCGCTTCATCGCCCATGCATGCAAAAAGTAGACGAAGAAATGCACAGAAATATCGGAGAAAAAATAAAACTCACACACGTGCCTCAAAGGCAATATCAGGGTTATTAATAAGAAGCTCTCGCTTCCTCATCGAAAAATTAATTGCCGTGGGAAAAAATCCCATGTCCCAATATGGAGACAACTTCCGGTAGACGCTCAATCAATCGCAAAATTGATTTCCCAGCGATTTCTTTTTTTCATTAAAAAAAACCCAGCACCTGATATTCGAGAGAAGAAATTGTAAAAGTTCTGGCGTGTGGTTCAAAAATAATGAGCTAAATTCGAATGCATCTTCTCATCAACTAATCAAATGGAAAATTCTTCGAGTTTTTTCTTTCTTCAATTTTTAAAAATACGTTTTTTTTTTTTACACAGTGAATCTTTCGAAGAACGAAATGATTTGTTTCCGCCTTTTTCCTCGTTATTTGCGCAAGGTTTTTTTTGTCGGATCGACGCCCGTTTTTCTCCTTGAAAGCTTCCATTGAAACCAATGACTCGTGTTTTGTGTCGAATCGAACTTCCGCGTGAAGAAATAAACGGAAAACATTTTATCTCTAAGAGACCGTGAAATTTCAGACTTTTAGATGCAGTATTTTTGCCAATTCGACCTCATATTCCACGGATGAGGCTTATTTTTCCGATGACGTTCTTTTTCTTTATTTTCCCACATTTGTTCCCCAAGTAATGGGTTTCATTTTGGATTGAGGCATAATTAGTGATGAATGAAGGTTTTTATATGGACTCAATTCCTGTATAAAACCGGTTCAAGGCTGATATTTTGAATAAATTGCAAGAACTCATCCAATGTCACTATTATACCCTTTGGATCCTAGAACTGCATGTTTATGTTTTTACCATAAATTCGAGGCCAGTTGCAACCTCAATAAATTTCTTCAGTGTTGAGAAGAAAAGACATTGTATCACTATGTTGTTGTGAAAATATTATCAGGTATACTAAACTTTTTGGGTACTACTGCCTCTGTGACAGAGAAAAATAATATGTGTACAGTACTGAGAAAAAATAAAAACTTTTGCATTTCATAGATGAAGAAAATACGCAGCCAGGGAGCAAAGACAAGAATTCTTCAAGGAATCCCAAATTTGAATTTTATTTCAGAAATGGTCCCAGCAAAGCTTTATCAAAAGAATGAAATTATGAGCAAAAAAGACTTCCCAACAAGCTCTCCTGAGAAACGTTAACCCATCTCTGCAAAAACTGTTACCAAAATGAATAAATGCCAATACAAAATATATGTAATACCTTGATCAAAAATCAGATGAGAAGAAGCATACACATTTTGAAGCCTTTGATTGGCAAATGAAATAAATATTGAAGAAATTGCAGCACCAGTGAAAATGGAAAACTTTGGAAGCAGGAGAAGCTGGAATTTTCCCAGTCTTTTTTTGTTGTTGATGGGCTGCATATTTTGCATCAATAATTTTTATCTGAATCAACAATGAAGGATTGGTGCAAGTCCCCAACAATACTAAAGCAGATATTGTTTTGAAACATTGCAAAAAAATCATTCAAGTGTCCAAGTATCTTGAGTTGGCTTGTGAAGTGAGAAAAAGATTATGACAGCAGCCCAACAGTTGCACTGCATGAATAAAATTAAGACAGCAACTAAATCATCCTTTCTGTGACAGAAATATTCCATCTCCAACTAGGATAAAACTGCCTCCAAACCCCGCATTGCAATGTTGGGTATCAGGACAAAAAATCGAGGTTTTATATCAATCCACATGCATCCTGAATTCAACTTTTCAGTCTATAAACTCTCAGGAATTGTCAGATTTAAGATACAGGTGTACTCTCTCTACAGTGAAGTTCAAGGGACTGAAAAAATTCACCCTCTAGAGAATTTTGTTGTAGAAAACCCTGATTATTTGAGAAAAGAACCCTATGTGGTCTCTCCAATAAATGTGTTATACAGAAAAAAATCATTGCAGACAAGATTGCCCTCCAGATAGTTCACCTTAATTTGATATTCCTACAATATTCAAGCAGGCAGGAAGAGAACCCCCAGTATTGTGCCATCAAGTTAAGGTTTTGATTCTTCCAGGATTTGGTAAAAATTAAATATTCTTTCTGAATTTCTTACTAGACAATCAAAAAATTCGATTGAAATATATCTTGATATATCTTGGAAAAACTCAAACTTATTTTGGAGCTTTAGGAATAATTTTCACACAGACCACTGCTGCTGTGGGGCAGGGGTGGCCCTTTGTCCAAATTTTGGAAAACCCTGCCCTGAAGAACTGCAATCAAATACACTCTGACACAAGAACCGGTTCCTGGTTGATCATGAAACCTTCACATGATACAAACAAAACCTGATTTTGAAAATTATTCCTAGTTTATCTCGTCCTGGCCTGGAATAAGAAATCCTGAATCCCCTTTTCTTTACCTTTCCACAGAAAACATTTTCTCATTCAGAAGGGAACTCATTAGAATTTCTCATGGTGCTCCTGTTTCTCCCTCATCTGAATTTTTCCACCCAGGAATGGAATGTTTCATTCCATAAATCCCAGTTCAAAGATAACAACAGTCAAGAAAAATGAAAGTTTGACACATAGACGGGATAAATATTGCGAAATTGTCTTCTTGTCAGGGGAATTGAACCTCAAACAGGAAGGTATGATGGTATGCAAACAGTATCCATGCTGTGGAATGTGAAACAACTGCAAAAAATGAGGGAATTCTTTCAATTTCATTCCATCAAAGAGACTCCAGCAAGGTGAGGAAATAATTTAAAAGCTCTTGGGGGAAGAATGTCATGTACAGTATATATATTTATAAACCAAGAAGTGGGACTTGCTTTTGAATCAAGTGAAAAACAATTTTAATCCTTGATTCTTAGTTTTCTGCACAGAGATTCTTTGCAAAATTTCTTTGATAAAAATTAAGATGGAAATTTTCTGAAGAACATATGAAATGTAAGTAAATAACCTTACTGAGCTGAAGACTTATCCAAGTCAAACTTTCTTCTAGTCCCTTTAAAACAATGTAACCTGCTGAGCCTCATTACCTTGGAATGTTTGAATGGTGAACCTTCTCAACCAAAAATGTTTGAAGACAAGGAAGGACAGTAGATTCTAAGATGGTAATGCTTTTGAAAAATTACCTGAGCAATTTTAATTGGTTCATGAAATCCCTCCTCAAGGTTCTGCATCCTGTAAACTAATTTAGACTGCAGTTTCTTGCACCTAGCCTTTTTCATGTAGTTTTAAGGACTTTGTGGCAGGTATTTGAACAGCTTCTGCTTATTTTGAAACTTTAAGTTATGCCCCAATAAATGAAGCAGATATAGTGGAATGTCTTTAAAAAATTACAATGATGGGATTGGAGAAAGGTTTCTCATAATGAAAAATTCAAATAATTTATTTCAGCACGTCAAAAATTTTCTGAAGCGCATCATTTGGAGAAAAGTCAACTTTCATTTTTCATCAAATAATTTCAACTGCCATTGTCTTTCCAAAATTTCAAATGAAGATAACAGACTTCTGTGCTACTTTTGATAAATTTATTATGCTGAAGAAAATTTCCAGCAGACCACCAAAAAATAAAAAATAAAAAAAGCTTCTGTGGATCAGGACCAGTCTGAGGACCACCACACATTGGGAAACACTGTCCTATGATGTTTCAAGCTTCAGATTTTTTTTTTCAGACTTTTTTCAGTACCATGTCTGATGCAAAAGGAAAACTTTCCAATTATTACTTTAGCTTTAATATTCAGCAGTGAACAGTGTGCTGGCAGAGACAGAGAAAGAGAGTGTTGGACGAACAGCCAGCAATAGCTAACACATCAAGGCGAAAACATTTGTCACAGTGAAAAGCTAGCTGAGGGAATGAATAGCCTCCAGAAGGTCAGTTTGGGCTGCAGTTAATTACCAATTAAAGGCGCCCGAGAGGGAATCTCGTTAGTCGCAGTCCGGCTGGCATCCGGGACACGCCATGTTGACGTAATCCCTAGGATAAACACCACAGAAATTAATGCCCGGGACTGACCTTGCCATTCCTGTGTCGAAAAAAAAAATAGAGTACAGTATTATAGCAGGAAGGAAACTATTTTTGCATGTCTCTCATTCTGACTCAACATGGCTGCTTCCCTTTTTAAAACAATGTCAAAGTTTTTACAGCAATAAGTGTAGAAATGAATCAGAAGGAAAAAGGTCATGTGTCAGCAGATTATAGGTTTAAAACAAGTGGCTTTGAATGTCAATTGAAAAATTCTTTTTCATACAGTATTCACATTTCCAAGATTGGTAGACTTTGAGAAGGAAGTTTAGAAGTTTCTATTTAAATTTCAAAACTCCCTTTTGAGTTTTTGTGGCCAAAATGTACAGTGCTTTAAAATTCTAAAATGCATGTGAAAGTTTCAAAATTCAAAAGTGATAAACAAGTAGCTTGAAATGTCAATTGAAAATTATTTTTCATGCTATTTACAGTTCCAAGCATGGTAGACTTGGTGAAAGAAGTTGATAGGTTTCTTTTCAAATTCTAAACTGTTTTTGTGGAATTTTTGTGGATGAGTTTACTTAGAAGCCTCAACATTTATATCAAAGTAATCCGACGTTTGACCTTTTTCATTCTGATTTAAGGAACCAGAGAAGAATGGCTTTGCAGAGAGAATTTACTGCAGAGAATGTTTATAATATGAGGAGAGAAACCTGTGGGGCCAGAACAAAGTTTGTTATACCGAGAAAATAGTTGTAGACAAGACCATGTCGTAGAGAAAGTCCACCTCTATCATATGCAATTGGTACACAAATAGAATGTATACAGGTTTTGGCTGCACATTCTCAATCATTATAACTGGTACTTCAAAGTACTGACACAGCTGATGCTGATAATTGCAATGTTCATTTATAAGCAAAACTGACTACAAGTTTGAGGCCTGCATACTTGAGGTAATGTTTGACAAAATACCCAAGAATTACAAAAAATGACCCTATCCACTCAAGTACCAGCCACGCCCTCTTTTTTTCAAAAATGCAATCAAGTAAATATGGTATCTATAGAGAAAAAAAAAGTTCAAAACATATTTTTAAAACAAAACCAAAAATACAGTAAAACATTGCAAAAATTTCAAGCCTGTGACACTTTACGTGGTTCAAATTATTCTGAGGCAAGAGACAAATTGTAAAAGAAGGCCTCAAAAATCTTGGCATCATTTTAGTTCTGATAAATTTTGCATTTTTACATATTTTTCTTTCAAAAATTTGAAAAAATTCTTCATGCAAAAGTTTGCTTTAAAAGGCAAGTTTTTTGTCAAGGGCAAACAATTTTTGCCCAGAAAAAATCAATTGTTTGTTCTTATTGTAATACAGAAAAAAATAGTTTGGCTTTTAAAGCAGATACACAAAATGGGATCATTTTTTTTATCATGTAACATACCACTGTACAAAAGTGCAGTACTTCTTTCTCACCTTCAAATTTCATTCAATTGGGATTGACAATCTTTTTTACTGCTGTGATTTTGAAACAGCAGTATTTAAAATTTGGCAATTCTTTTGATTGTTTTGCTTCCTGCTCTAGGAAAGTGATTAAAGGCATGATACCATTCCTGGTTTCAACTCTTTGTACACTTCCTCTCTCTCCCTCTCTTTCTCTCTTGGTCCTTTTCTTTGGATAGTAAAAATTATTGAGAGTCTGTCTATCATTGAGAACTTGAACCAAGATCAAAGTGCAAAATGGGAAGAATTTGTCCCCCGTTTGTCCACTCAACTATGTCATTCACTCCTTATGTACACGAAGGAATACCCGTTTATCAACGAGTTTTAACCACGGGGGAACCGGTTCCTGAACGCGTTTCTATTTGTGTGTGTGTGTGTTACACACTTGACAAAGAAGTTGGGCGTGTGCGCAATCGCGGAAGGAACTGAAAAACCCCTGTCTTTTTTTTTTCTTATTCATCAAATCAGTGTGACTCTTTTTTTGTTGTTGTTGTGTAGTTTTTTTTTTATTGACACACCTTTTACCCCCGCGGGGGTGGGAATTCCTAGCATATGATAATGTTCCTGCTCGCAAATGTGTCAACCCTTTGTCCACAGAAACATTATCACTTTGCCATTAATGCATTCCATCGCGATAATGATGAGTTCATTGTGGTACAGTATTTATATACGTAGTGTCTTGTCGGATAAAATGATGGAATCCCCTTGTCATGTTTTTCCTTGTGTCAAGTGTGAGAACTAAAACTTGAGGACACGTTTTCTCCCAGCATGTGAGTTTGCTGAAGGACAACCTCAGGTAATATATTTTATATAATAGTTATTTTCATACATGGGTTTTTTTTTCTTTCAGATGTGGATATCATGATTGACCTTGAAGATGTTGTGAAGGTGCTTAATGTACCTATATGCGAGCACTATATGTAGTTTTCAACAGTAAGTGCATGAATGACAATAAAAACCAACATCAAAACTGATTTTGTGATTCATTTTATTTTTGTTGATGATTACTTTCATTGAAATGGTTGAAATATTTTGCAATTAAAGGTCAATAATTCAAACCTCCCTATTTCATTTTTTGAAACCCTTGTCTGACTTTCCTTATAATCAATGCAATAAAAACATCTTTAACTCAATAAAGGCTTTCTCCCAAAAAAATCTGCATATTTCCAATTTTTGAGCGCCGTTTGGCAATTTTTGTATTGACACTGGAAAGAACAAAAGTAACTTGACATGTTTTAAAAAGGAGTAAAGTACTAATTGCGCAAATGAACCATTGCCTCCAAGTTCAGCAACCTATCAGCTCATTTGATCCCCAAAAAATTTGATCCCCAAAAAATCATTAATTACAATTTCCAGGAATTTTTCTTTCTTAACAAAGGTTTCTTTTCCTATGCATGGAAAGCTCCTTAACTTTTTTTTGTCTTTCAGTTAATTGTGGGTCAGAAAGTAAATAACCTGATTTCTCCCTGACCCACAAGAACTTCATTCATCTTTTGGGAATACTAAGTTCACTGAAGTGAATTCCCATGAGGTAACCAACCAACTGGAATAACTTTATGATACTGCAAAGCCAAATACTTGTACAGTACTGAACATTACCAAATGGCAAACAACAGCACTGGGAAGGAACTCTTTCTGGCCTTTCAAGAATTGAGTCTTTTTTAAATTCTTCATTGAATGCTACTTCTAATTGCTATATATTGTAAAAAGGTTTTGTTCCTTCCTTGAAATTGAACTTACTCAATTTCAGGTATGATGACCATTGTTTTCACTGAATGATCTCCTGAATAAATGTGAGAAATCAGGTCTCAGATAATTTGTTTTATAGGTGTTTATTTTGCAAGCAACTGGTTTTTTTCATAGACAATTCTACTCATGTACCAGTACAGAAATGCAATGAAAATATTTTTTTCTGAAACTGCTGTGTAAATTTCGAAACATGCATATATCTCACAGGCTGTTCTTCCTTTCAGCGAAAAAACAAACCGGTACAGCAGTTAATGAAATCGAGTAAGTAAAAACCTAGAAATGCGGAAATAATAATTCTGGCTTGCTTCGGAATGCGTAATTATCGGCGAAGTGCCAAAACGATGATTGAAAAATGGACTCACCTGCTGAGAGAGTGAAGAAGACCACAGCTACCAAGGCCACAACTGCGAACCGAGTCCGAGGGAAGCAAATCATGGCCGCCAACTTCATGCTCTTATTATTCCAACACCTTCCTCCTTGTGTCCACTGCAAAAATTAAAAAGGAATAAATAACATTAAAAATTAAATCATGGTGATGAACTTTTGCTTCTTCGTGACCTGATTCTCTTGTCTGACACCAAGTCTCACTGTCATAAGATCTCTGAGAATCTCAGAAGTTCACCATGTATGAAGCAGAAGTCATGGTTTTTTTTAGTACAAACAAATTTCTTGATGAGAATATTTTTGGCAATTTTTTACAAATATTTCCCTTGAACAGGTAAAAAATGTATTTGGCATGCACAAAAAATCAACCCATAATCTTTTTACACTTTCTTGGTGACTTTGGGTGGTTTTTTGCGCTTAGGTTTTGCACTTTTGAAATAATGGGAGACACATTTTTTCTAGTTTATGAAAGTTGCATTCTTTTACCCATTTGATGCCAGGTTATTCTCAATAAAAGAACTCTGAGAATCTGAAAAACCATCATGCATGAAATAAATAGTTGAGAAAAAAGATGCTCTTGTAGGCCACGATAAATTGTTAGCTTTATCTGATCTATTTTCAAATATTATACCTAATTTATTGTTAAATAGATTTAAAATCTATCTGGTGGAGCAGGCTGAACACCTTGTGCTTCAATTTGTGCTCAGAAAATTGCATTGGGCTGTCATTATTGTCATTCTTTTAAAAATATTATGGGAAGGCTTTATTATTGATGCATTTGTGTGTACTGTCATGTATTATCTATTAATATCTGTATGATGATTTTTTTGTTGCAAGGTTTTTCAGTTGACAATTTATAACACATCATCCCAAGTGAGGCACGCATCCTATTTTTAGTGACTCTGAAACAGCGAAATTTAAAAGACAAGAGCACCCAAACTTGAATTTAGACATTAATGAAACAGAATTCAATGAACATTCAATTTTTCCACTGATGTAAGTTTTTCTGTTGAACTTGGTCCAACATTTCCCACAGGAATCCAATGTAATGCACTTCTAAACTTCTGAAAAAAGTATGAAACATTCATAATCATTTAAGATGCAAACCATATTTTTTCCCTCTTGCATTCGAGAAAAAATGCATCTCGTACTTAAATCTTTAAATCCTGTATATTATTCATCAGCATATATAGACATCAATTTTACAGGGTTTAAAAAAAATTTCAACACCCCTATAAAAAGCCATCTATATAGATATGTTTTGCGACTCATTTTTTAGCCCTGCATGATGATCCTGAACTCTTTCAAAAAATAAACACCATTGCAATTTATTCATTTGTTCATCGATGCAAAATACATGTAAATACTGCAAAGGAAGGGCATTTTCTCATCACCAGGGAAATGAATCTTGTGGTTTCTTGAAAGAGACCAGACCTCCACCACCACCACCACTAATGGCAACTCTGCAATGATGCCGGAACGTGAGGAAAATGACAACAGAGGATTAAATAGGAGCATCGTAAACTTTCATCTGTCTGCCAGATGATTAGCTATTAGTTTTTATTCAAGGACGTAATAATCGCTGGAATGCCCAAGATGTACATCTTTTTCTTTTTTTCCTTCTCCTCCCAAGTGGTTCAAAAGCTGCAGGTGTTTCAATACCTTGGTCCACTTTCGACTGTGGATAATGACAGGTTGATAGCGGGGGATTTCTTGCACCTTTTCAGGTACAGGATGTTGGACGATTCGGGATGATGACTTCCGACGAGGGCAACTGTGTATAATTACGACCTTAATTACCCCCACATGCGAGGTTATTTCTTGTGATTTCCGACCTAATTTCTTATCTCTCTTATTTGTAAAGCATCTGCAATCACCGTATTTCTCGAGAAGAAGGTATTATTTATTTTGTGAAATATTCAGGCATATGGATTTTATCAAAATTTATGGCTTTTGTTGACAATAGGTGGAAAATTATTCCTAAGCCATGAATTTTATTTTAAAACTATTTCTAGCAGAGTTTTGCTTCAACAATGTGCAACACTTTTAGTATAATCTGCGGTTTGCACGATAATTCTAGGATTCATACATTTTTTCTGTTATAGAGTACTTCTACTATTTTTGGCGCGCCAAAAAACTGCGCACCGTCAATTGATGCTTTTAGTCTTGGACTTTTTGATGATTCGAGTCAAGAAAGGTCATCTCGAATTTTGAAATAGAATTGCAATGCAAAATTCCCCAGAGAAAAGTCATTGCAACATTCGTCATATTTCAAGATTCTCATCAATTTTTTATTCTTGCTGATGTAAAAGAAAAAATAAAGAAAAATTTTATACACAGAACTCACATAAAATCCTGGCCAATCTTTGTTTTCAATTCAACCAGTCAAAGTTGTGAAATTTCAATAGCGGTTGATTTCTCTTTCATTTAATTTTTCTCTTTGTATTCACGAGGATGGAAGAGACTGAATCATAGGAAATGGAAATCCAGCACGTTTTCAATTCGAAGAAATATTTATTCAACTGGACGAAACCTGGAAAACTTTTTCTATGTGGCAGAGAATGCGTCCAATTCAACTGATTTCGAGACAAGGATATGTCAGAACCTAGAAAGCTGAACTTAATTTTCTGTTGAAACTTCAAATAAATCATGACTTTTTGAAATACAGTACTTGTATAGAGTAGTTATAAAAAGCTAGAATAATTTATTGGGCTTTCATGTTCTCAAAATCGATATTAAATGTTGAATAAAATATTAAAAAGTACATACTATTTTGGAAAATATTTATGTTGGAGTATATGATAAGTTTTTTCAATATTTCAATGCCTACACTGCCTTTACAGTATATAAAGCTAACATTCATTGCTTAAATTTGGTATAAATTCAGAATTGATACTTTTCAGTGCTGGTCACAAGACGTATGTCATAAAAAGGTTTTTCTTTGAAAACAAGTCTTTTCCTCCAAAAAATATTCTGTTATGCCTCAGCAAAATGCTGTAAAATATCAATAAACTGTTGCAAGGGATTAAGCATAGCATTTACAGATAAATTTGATAAGGACAGTAAAGTATTGGCATTCTGTAAAGAACTGAGGCGTTTGCAGCAGAGTTTGTCATGTTTTTCATGGTCTTCACTGTGTGAGGCACACCACTGTATCAGTAGCTTGCTAATTGTACCAAACACAAAACATATGACACATAAAAGCACACAGTTGCACTTTGATAACTCAAACCTACTCAAATAAGTCAGATGCTATGTATGTCACATTTTTTTCAAGTCCTGGTTTACAAGTCTTTTCAAAAATTTGACTTTAGACATGAATTGAATGAAAATCTGATTGATTTTCAACTTTTTCAGTATAAGCAAGTTTTCTTGGTACATTTGTTCCAAATTTCTCCATTATAATTAAGTATAATTAACACATAACTTCCTAAAATTTCTTGAAAACTTTGTACCCGCTTATGACACACACCCCTTTTTTTCTTCTGAAATTTGAGAAAAAAGGTGCGCATGGTACTTGAGTAAATACGGTATTTAAATAACTGAATTTGCACAACTGACTTTTCACACAACTGACTATATAGTCTGTGACAAAAATTAAGTGCATTGTTCAAGGGTTGACTGCTGTATTCTGTCTCTCTTTTCCTCAACAAATTAATGCTTCTTTCCCTATCTCATCAAGATCTCTTGGATTCAATGTTTTCCTTGCTCTTCACTGAAATTTGCTTCAAAGAGGTTTGATATTGTACAGTATAACAAAAGAAAAAAAGCTTCCATATGCAGACCTGTTAGTTTCTGTCCACTCCTGATGATGAGCTTCAAAAGCTGCTGTTGGGGAAGCAGGAAATATGAAACCTATTTCCTATTATTCCAGCCAATAACTGCTGTGATGATGATGATGAAGCCTTCCAAAAAAAGGGGCCCCAAAAACCCTCAAGCAACGTGATCCACAGCACAGCACACCACAGTGTGAACAGTTCGGCACAAGGACTGAATGGGACACGATACCCCTCACGCACCAAAAAAAAAAAAGGGGGATGTCTTCGATGTGATGGACAGTATATACCCAGCGATATTAACAACTGTGATAAGAGCGAGCTAGCAGCCAAGCAGAACCCGGACGCACGCAACCCTGGCGCAAACTGAGTGAAACCCGCGCCGAGGGCCTCAACCATACCTGTTTCACCGCTGAGCTGCTCATGTGCTGGGCAAGGAGAAAAAAGAATAATATAAAGGAAAAAAAGGGGCGGACTTATAAAACTACTATATATACAAGTATACAGTATTACTGCAACCCTCGATCGGGCAAGTCCAGAGCCAAGCCAACCACACCCGATTCGGGATTCCTCCGATTTGTTTCCCGGTCCCGAAGCAAGCAGGAATGTGCTTCCGGGATCTCGGACGACTTCGCTGCTGCTGCGTTCCAATATTTTTTACTTCGTTTTTTTCAATTCTTTTTTTTTCATTTTACTTCCCATGACTTTATGTATCAAGCAGCAGCTGGTCGTCAAAAGTGCTGAGACATGTCAGCAGAACCCCCCTAAGGGGGATTCAAATTTGTATATCAAGGAACCTTAATCGCCCCAGGCTGTACCGGTTTTTTTTGTCTGAATTTTTTAGGCGTTGATTTATAATCAATAAATTTTGAAAGAGATGTCGAAAATTTCACGCATTTTTCTTGGCTGGAATTGGCCCTGATTTCAGAGGTGTTGCACTTTTAGGTAAGGAATTCTGGCATCAGTGGCAGGAACAAGAAGGATGACAAAAAACAATCAATAAAATTATATTACAACATACAATATCTTGTTATACAAAGAAGGTATTTTTCATCATGAAATCTTTTTTTCCCTTGGTCAAAGCATTTTCTTGAGGGAGAAAATATTACAAAAATTGTGTTGTAATCAAGAAACTTTCCTGTATAATGCTATAATAATTTCAATACAACAAATATTTGCCTTTGTTATGTGTCGTCAAATGAACATTTCAACTAATTGGCACAAAAATATAACACAATTTGTGGACGATTGGAAAAAATCTTTTAAAATATGAATGCTCATAACTGCATTTCTATAGAGGAAATTTAGCATTGCAAGAATTATAAAGCTGCGATAACAAGTGATTTAGCTTTATTTTAGAAGTTACAATGGCCAAGTTTTTTAAATAGAAGTATGTTTCAAAGTCCTCTAGTCTGTTTCATACGCTTTTCAAATGAATAACTGCTCTTTTATGTCTGTTTCAGCTTATACATTGCAATATAAGATCAGCTTTTCCAAAAAATCAAAAAAGGGTTCAAATAAGATAGTTCCATTTAACATTTTACATTTGCAACTGTTCAAAAAAATTCTTCAGATATTTGTTGTGTGAAGCATTCTAAACTTTAAAAACATTTCAACTAGGTTTGCATTAAATTTCTGTCTTACATGCTCAAAAAACGAAGAATTTCAAATATAAATAGGAGATTCTTACCAGATTGCATCCAAAATTCAAGCCAATTTTATGAGCCAAATTCAAAAATTCCATCTATAATTTTCCATTCATTTTTTTTAAATAGCTCAAGAATAACAAAATTTTCATACACATAAATAGCTAAGATTCAAAAATAGGTGGATCAATGTAGACAGGTTTGTAGGCCAGATGTGGCCAGCAAGCCATATGTTCCAAGAAAGCACACCACATACTCATGACGATAATTACTAGTGAGGATGCTCCAGCTTCTTTCATTTTTCTGCAGTCATAATGTAGTTTTGTACTTTTAAAATTAAATCCCCTTGGAGGCTGGGTAACTGCCTCAGCACTCAGATGTCTCTTGCATCTGGAATATTGTTAATGCAGTTTAAAATCTGCAATAGCCATGAATTATATTTTAAAACTATTTCTAGCAGAGTTTTCCTTCAACAATGTGAAACACTTTTAGTATAATCTGCGGTTTGCACGATAATTCTAGGATTCATACATTTTTTTCTGTTATAGAGTACTTCTACTATTTTTGGCGCGCCAAAAAACTGCGCACCGTCAATTGATGCTTTTAGTCTTGGATTTTTTGATGATTCGAGTCCAGAAAGGTCATCTCGAATTTTGAAATAGAATCGCAATGCAAAATTCCCCAGAGAAAAGTCATTGCAACATTCATCATATTTCAAGATTCTCATCAATTTTTTATTCTTGCTGATGTAAAAGAAAAAATAAAGAGAAATTTTATACACAGTACTCACATAAAATCCTGGCCAATCTTTGTTTTCAATTCAACCAGTCAAAGTTGTGAAATTTCAATAGCGGTTGATTTCTCTCTTTCATTTAATTTTTCTCTTTGTTTCAGGATATTCACGAGGATGGAAGAGACTGAATCATAGGAAATGGAAATCCAGCACGTTTTCAATTCGAAGAAATATTTATTCAACTGGACGAAACCTGGAAAACTTTTTTTCTATGTGGCAGAGAATGCGTCGAATCAACTGATTTCGAGACAAGGATATGTTTTAAATATCAAAACCTAGAAAGCTGAACTTAATTTTCTGCTTAAACTTCAAATAAGTCATGTATTTTTGAAATACAGTACTGTACTTGTGTCCCAAAGCATAATACATTTGCTTATAGTTATAAAAAACTGGAATAATTTATTGGGCTTTTTTTGAATCGATATTGAATGCTGAATAAAATATGAAAAATTACATACTATTTTGGAAAATATTTAAGTTGGAATATATGATAAGTTTTTTCAATACTTCAATGCTTACACTGCCTTTCCAGTATTTAAAGCTAACATTTATTGCTTAGATATGGTATAAATTCAGAATTAATACTTTTTACTGCTGGTCACATGATGTATGTAATAAAAAAGTTTTTCTTTGAAAACAAGTCTCTTCCTCCAAAAATTATTTGTTTATGCCTCAGCAAAATGCTGTAAAATATCAATGGACTGATGCAAGGGATTAAGCATAGCATTTACAGATGAATTTGATAAGGACAGTAAAGTATTGGCATTCTGTAAAGAACTGAGGTATTTGCAGCAGCATTTGTCATGTTTTCGAGGTCTCCATTGTGTGAGGCATACCACTGTATCAGTAGCTTTCTAATTGTACCAAACACAAAACATATGACACATAAAAGCACACAGTTGCACCTTGATAACTCAAACCTACTTAAATAAGTCAAATACTATGTGTGAAATTTTTTTCAAGTCCTGGTTTAAATTTTCAGAAAAAACAATCCATTAAAAACCTCTCTAAGTCACAGGCTTTCCTCCTCAAACCTCCATGAATCAAATTTTCTGAAGACCTTTTAAATATTATTTGATTGACACATCAGGAAATAGGATAGCAGTTAAATATGCTACTTGCTGCACTTTGAAAGCAAATTGAACATCATTTGAGCAAATGAACCCTTGCATCCAACTTCAGCTTTTTTTTCAGTAACTAATTCATGAAGCAATTTAAGACCCAGAATATCATCAATTACAATCTCCTGCAATACACTGTTGACCCCCACACAACAGACCTCCTGTGCAACAGATTTTCACACAATGGACTGCCTTGGGAGGCAGTTTTTTTCCCATGCAACAGACTAAATCAGCTCCACAGACTTCTGTTGGTTTAAAATTAATGGTTGAAAGTAAAAATTGTAATTATTGTATTCACTCAAGTACCATGCGCACTCAAGTAAGGCATGCAAAGGGGTTTTTCAGTTGGAAATATTGCTAAAACCTTATACCCAAGTAAGACGCGCACCCCAATTTTTAGTGAATATAAATCCACAAAATTTCGAAAATAACAACAAAAATTTGACTTTAGACATGAATTGAATAATAATCTGATCAATTTTCAACTTTTCCAGTATAAGCAAGTTTTCTTGGTACATTTGTTCCAAATTTCTCCATTATAATTAAGTATAATTAACACATAACTTCCTAAAACTTCTTGAAAACTTTGTACCCGCTTATGACACACACCCCTTTTTTTCTTCTGAAATTTGAGAAAAAAGGTGCTCATGGTACTTGAGTAAATACAGTATTTAAATAACTGAATTTTCACAACAGACTTTTCACACAACTGACTATATAGTCTGTGACAAAAATTAAGTGCATTGTTCAAGGGTTGACTGCTGTATTCTGTCTCTCTTTTCCTCAACAAATTATTGCTTCTTTCCCTACCTCATCAAGATCTCTTGGATTCAATGTTTTCCTTGCTCTTCACTGAAATTTCCTTTGAAAAGGTTCGATTTTTATTGTTTTCTTTTTTTCGAAGGTATACGTCTGGACAATCAAAGACAGGTGAGGACTACTACTCGAAGTTTTCGACGACAACCCCTTCGTCCTTTATACTTTGGATAAAGGATAATAAGGTCGGTTATACTGCTGTGATGATGATGATGAAGCCTTCCAAAAAAAGGGGCCCCAAAAACCCTCAAGCAACGTGATCCACAGCACAGCACACCACAGTGTGAACAGTTCGGCACAAGGACTGAATGGGACACGATACCCCTCACGCACCAAAAAAAAAAAAGGGGGATGTCTTCGATGTGATGGACAGTATATACCCAGCGATATTAACAACTGTGATAAGAGCGAGCTAGCAGCCAAGCAGAACCCGGACGCACGCAACCCTGGCGCAAACTGAGTGAAACCCGCGCCGAGGGCCTCAACCATACCTGTTTCACCGCTGAGCTGCTCATGTGCTGGGCAAGGAGAAAAAAGAATAATGTAAAGGAAAAAAAGGGGCGGACTTATAAAACTACTATATATACAAGTATACAGTATTACTGCAACCCTCGATCGGGCAAGTCCAAAGCCAGCAACGGTTGGTGTGGGCTAAGCCCTAAGGAGGCTAAACAAAGGGCCAGGGCTTCGTTCGTCCTTACACGAAGGCCCTAGAGCCTGCTGAAGCGACGACGACGCAAGGTTATAAAAAATGAAGCAAAAAAATCAATCTTTTTTTTTTCATTTTACTTCCCATGACTATATGTATCAAGCAGCAGCTGGTCGTCAAAAGTGCTGAGACATGTCAGCAGAACCCCCCTGAGGGGGATTCAAATTTGTATATCAAGGAACCTAAATCGCCCCAGGCTGTACCGGGTTTTTTGCCTGAATTTTTTAGGCGTTGATTTATAATCAATAAATTTTGAAAGCAGAGATGTCGAAAATTTTCACGCATTTTTCTTGGCTGGAATTGGCCCTGATTTCAGAGGTGTTGCACTTTTAGGTAATGAATTCTGGCATCAGTGGCAGGAACAAGAATGATGACAAAAAAACAATCAATAAAATTATATTACAACATACAATATCTTGCTACAAAGAAGGTATTTGTCATCATGAAATCTTTTTTTTCCTTGGTCAAAGCATTTTCTTGAGTGAGAAAATATTACAAAAATTTTGTTGTAATCAAGAAACTTTCCTGTATAATACTATAATAATTTCAATACAAGAAATATTTGCCTTTGTTATGTGCGGTCAAATGAACATTTCAACTAATTGGCAAAATAATATAACCCATAACTTGTGGACGATTGGAAAAAATCTTTCAAAATATAAATACTCATAAGTGAATTTTTATACAAGAAAATTTAGCATTGCAGGAATTATAAAGCTGTGATAATAAGTGATTTAGCTTTATTTTAGAAGTTGCAATGGCAAGGTTTCTGAAATAAAAGTATGTTTCAAAGTCCTCTGCTCTGTTTCATACACTTTTCAAATGAATAACTGATCTTTTATGTCTGTTTCAGCTTATATACAGTATTGCAATACAAGATCGGCTTTTAAAAGAAATTAAAAAAGGGTTCAAATAAGATATACAGTTGTACAGTAGTAACATTTTCCATTTGCAACTGTTCCAAAAAAAATTCTTCACATATTTGTTGTGTTAAGCACTCTAAACGTTAAAAGCATTTTAAGTAATCTTCCATTAAATTTCTGTCTTACATGCTCAAAAAAACGAAGAATTTGAAGTAAATCAAAGTTTCTTGCCAGATTGGATCCAAAATTCAAGCCAATTTTATGAGCCATGTTCAAAAATTCCAGCTATATTTTTCCATTCATTTTTTTTAAATAGCTCAAGAATAACAAAGAAAAGTATGTGTATTTATCGATTCTAAGTTTTTATCCACCTAGTTACATCTGTCCAAACATCCGGTCTACACCGGTCGTTCGGTATACAAGGTTCTTTCGTGTGGTGTATGAGTACTGCTATTAATGTCTTGGTCTTTATATTATTGTCAATTTTATCACGCGATAAAAAATAACACTGTAGGCGCCCTCTTATTTGAAGTATAGTAACACATGATTCTGATTTTCGAATAAGAAGCAACGAAAGTGAGTGATGGGCTGCTTGTGGGAAAGGTTCATGACCGGTTGATCACAGATTTATTTACTTCGTGGGTACAATCGATGTTCAGACGAAAGGAAAAAATGAAGAAAACGTTTTAAAATTGTACCGAGGAGATCCGAGTGCTTGTATTGTATTATTGTGCTCATTAATTCCTGTCCGAAATGGACCTTGCATAAATCTACTTTAAGCGCAACTGACAAGGTCGTGTGTCGAACCAGGGGACAGAAATGACTACTGAATTAATCTCCAGCTGTTCTGTTTCATTTTTTGTGGTCGCAAACAATTTGATAGTTTAAAGAGCCATGATTATTACAATTTTATACTGTAACTCATCATGATGAGAAAAAACCACAAGAAATGCACAATAATTACAGGAAAATCATGTTTTTTCACAGAGCATTTCCCTGGCAAAATTATTTCAGATGGAACTTTAAAATTAATTTCAGTGAAAAATACAGAGTGAACATTCTTTTTTTTGTGTACAGTTGATCCTCACTCACTTAATTTGACTTAATTTGAAGCATGCAGGATTCAATTCTCATCTGAAATCCTTTGAGAACAATCTAATGCATAAACCTCACGTCCTTAACCCCCAAAAAGTAATTAAAAATATTCATTTGTGCTATTATTCTGAGAACTAAGGAAGGAGAAGAACAATAAAAATGTTATGCTTTGGACAACGAAAAATTAATGTATATGATTGGGCAAAGTTACCCTTGGATTCAAGCTGAACATCCTGTTAACTCATTCATCCAATAGTTTGAAGCCAAGAAAATAACCAATTTTGTGTTTCCTTAATTCTTCAGTATCTACAGTGAAAATTTGGGTTTTCATAATCAGAAATTAAATCTAAGCAGAATTGTTTGTGGGGTTTTCAGAATTTGACTGGAACAGGCTTGACTGTACTGATGTACTTGTGAAATAAGCTCCGCAATTCATTTTGTGGAAGCAGAATTGATTGGATAATAATTGAAGCAATGCCAATTTTCAGGGCCACAGTTGAATTGAAATTATCTTGGTATTTGATGAGAAAACAATGGAAAATGCATGCAATTTGAAAATTTTGTGTTTCTTGTTGAGTAATTTCCTAGCTGAATTGTTTCCCAAATGATTTCATGAATCACTTTTCAAATGAAAAAAGGATAGAATATTCTAATTTTCTTGATGCCAGCACAGTTGATCAACTTTCAGTTAAACTTCAAGATACAGTACATTAAAAAAATCAAGTTTGGAAGGTTTCCAGTTGTAGGAAAAGATATAAAAATTACAAGGAAATTGTAATGGGTGATATTCTGGGCCTTGAATTGCTTTTTTTAATTAGTTTACAGGATTCTGAACTTGGAGCAAGGGTTCATTTGCTCAATTTTCCTTTGATTTATTTCAAAGCACTTCAAGTTACATTATCCTTGATTTTCCCTTTCCTACATTGATAAAATAGTAGACCAAAGACCTCCAAAAATTTAAATTATGGTGGCTTGGACAGCAATTGAGTGAGAGAGGCTTTTTAATGCATTTTTTCTAAGGGAAATGAAGACAGCAGGGAGTTGAAAAATTAAAACATGTAGGCATTTGACTTGATGAGACTCAAGTTATCTAGTTTCAACTGTACAGTATGTGACACATCCCAAATGCAGCAATTCTCCAGCATCTGGCCACAACCAGCTGAGGAACCCGATTTTTCCTGAGACCAGAAAGCCTTGCCAAAATCCCATTTTTGTAAGACTCATTGAGACTCATACAAGGACACAAAAGTGGAAATCACTTCTTTGTTTTCCCCTGAATTGGCCAATCATATGCCAGCAAGTAGGTGTGAAAATCTTCATTCCTTTTTGAGAGGAGAAGTGAGAATGAAGTGTTACAGGGTCCTTCAACACTGATATTATATCAATCAATTCTTCTCAGCTACCCAATCCATGAATCCTGAACCCATTACTATATACTATTACAAACAATCATTCAGCCATTTCTTCAGCAGCCAAATGCGGAGAAAGGCAACTGAGAAGTAAGTCCTCTGATCAAGAGTTGAGTCCTTCAAAACTTGCAAAATTCAATTCCTTTGCCTGGTACCCATGACAAAGATGACCCTTTCCACAAGTTTTTCTTATAACTTGAAACTTCCAAAAGCTATGTTGGCAACACTCTTGCGAGAAAAAAAACTACAGTGCTGAATCAGGTACTCTATAATAGTTGATACCTTGGAATATATTCAGAATGCCAGAAACGTTTTCTCTTTTGTCCCCCTTCTCTTATTCTGACCCCCGGAAGAAACAACGGGAACAACAAAATTCGATATGCATGCAACAGAGGGTTCGTTGCATTGCATTATTTTTTTCATTGCCAAAGTCGAATGCACTATTCAAAATACTGTGGAACAAACCAAATACTTTGTATGACCATAAGTACACATGCATAAACGCAGTGACCAAAATTTTTTTTAAATGAAATAAATAATAATGATAAACCGCCATGTCCAACACGCAAGGACACGTAGTTTCAGAAGTGTGTTTCGCGGTGCAGCTTATATATGAATAAACTTGACATTCTATTTGAAATTAGACCCTGGAGTTGAGATCTTTATTTGCTACAATATAGGATTGGTGGTGCTGGAAAACCCATCCCATTAAGCATAGTCTTGGTGTGCGGCGTTAACTTATTGAGATGAAAAAAGGCAATTTTCCGTACTTAATGACCTATAATGGTCCAAAAGGGCATGATAAAAATTATAATGGGTTCTGATTGAAACCCGCAAGCAAGGGAGTAGCCTCTGTGCAACTGAAAGACAAGAAGGAATATTCTGTGAAGTTCTCACATTTAATAAAAAGAATGCACACACCATCAAATCCTCCATTTTTTATTTTCAAAATAAAACGAGGTCGCTTCTACATTTTGGTTTCATGGATCTCCAACACTGTTGAATCTTCCTTTTGAATTTTCACAGGTGCTCCTGTTTTCCAAGAACTAATTCAACACCCTGTGTTCAAAGTGTCATTTGTTTTTATTCCCTTCAAAATATTGTTTCCTCTTCAGATTATTTGAAAACCAGCTGAAATTTCAGATGCACATTGCACCATAAAGTTTTACAGTTCATCCAATCTGAGGTAAATTTAAAGAAGGGGTCTTTTTTAACAATGGATCCTCTGAAAGTGAACGTCTTTTCCCAGAGTAAACACGTACAACTCGAAGTTTTGTTAATAACAAGTCTTTTATATACAAATAACCGGGTTCGTTTTTAGTCGGGATAAAAAGATATTTTTGTTGTTGCAAAAGTCCCCCTGGCAGGTTTCTGATCATTAATACTCAAAAGATGAGGCACACATCTTGCCATTTGCTTGGCATACTCCAGCTTATCCTTCAGAATGCTTGAAATCAATTCCAAAGGTTGTTACTGTCATCAATTTATTATTAAGTATGTTGATGAAAATGGTGCAATTGCTGTGGAAGACCTGCTAGAGGCATCCCTTGGAATTCATACTACAGGTGTCAAATAAAGTGCTAGAATTCTGAAGCACAAGCTGGGCTACATCACAAAATTTACAAAATAGTATCCTCATGTTTTGAATGAAGAGCAGAAAGCTGCCAGAGTGACTTTTGCAACAAAAAAATATTTGAAACAGGGCTGAATTTATATTTTGCCGGTACAGGTGGTACCTTGCAATTTAACCTCCTGAAATGTCTCTGTTGTGCAATTCAATGGTCAGTTTTGTTGAGAGGTCAGCTTGCAAATTGACCTCTGTCCCAAAAATGTGGCTTCCTTTAACCTCTTTTCTTGTGTGTTTTTGTGCTGCTCTTTCTTAATTTTACATACTGTAGTGTCTTGCAATTTGACCATGAATGAATGAATGAACAGAACACTTTATTTGCCGCTTTTCAGCGTTCACAAGGTTCCATGAAGATTTCCACATTGAAATGACCTCCCCACCCAACCCAAATCAACTCAAAGACATTTAATTACTTCAGAGCATGAAACAGAGCACAAATGGATAAAATAATAAAAGAGAATAGAATCCACAAAATACAACTATGGACATGTGACATGTATGCATACACCCCTTCCTTCCCTGACATTGAAAACAAAATATCAGTAACAGTAAATTTAAAGCACAAGGTCTTCAGCTTGTTTCTGCATGAGGTTTAGTTGAATGGACAATTTAGAGAGAATCTTTGATGAGAAATCATACAAGGCCAACAGTTTATCTTGACCATTTCACAAACCAACCCAAGTACAGCAATGGCAGATTAGGTTTAAACTGAATGGAACCACCTGTATTAGGAATGTTTCTTCTCACTAATAATTTTCAAAGTTCAATTAAATGCAAGCTTTTTAAATTATCTTTTGAAAAAAATTGTTAGACCCTCTCAAGAATATGCTCTGAGAATTGAATCTCCCTGCAACAAAATCTCAAGGTGATCAGGCTCATCCTTCACATCCGAATCTTGGCCTAAACCCCCCTCCCCCACTCACTCACTCACTCACTCACAGAACCAGATTAAAAGATAGGTATACAAAGTCTAATGCCTCAAAGTTGAGTGAGTCCAGGGGTTGCACAAAGACTCTTCCGAGATAGACAGAGAGGGAACCGCCCTGGCGCCATTCGGAATCGCGTCCGATCGCATGCATGCATGCATGCATGCATGCCGCCACCACCACCGCCGCCGCCAAGCAGCAGCAGTCGCAGGCATGAATCATTTATAATTACGACTCGGATGACGACGACGAAATCGACTGACGATAAAGAAAAAGGTGAAGCGTTAGAAAATAAGCCACGTGAGGCGAAGAAGGGCGTGGCTGGCCCGAGGGCAGGCATCTGACTCTGAATGTGAGTGTGTGTGTGTGCTTGTCTTGCTATATTGGCAGTGGTTGTCCCAATCCTTCCTACCCTGGAAACGTCGGAACATTCCTATTCGCGTATAAGAAATTATGTATATAGAGCAAATGACCTTCCTCACCTCCATGATTGATACCATTAGAAGGGACAATAAACTGGGCTTGGATATTAATTAGTCAGTCATTCCACGCATTACCCGCAGGCATAATTGTATATAATGAACATGGTTCATAAAGGAACCATTGTTTGCTCTCTGAAATTATCAGCCAGTCTCCTCATTTAAATTTAAATCAATTTAAATCAAACCTCTCTAAGGGCCAGCTAAGAACATGGAATTGGGGGGGGGGGGTGTTTTGAGTTACAGAAACTAGCATTTTTATTGTGGGAAAGATAAAAGAATTACCAGAAATTATAAATGGTGATATTCTGGGCCTCAACCCTTGTACAGCATGGGGTTATTTTGCATTGCCTGATATAGAGTTGGGATGTTTTTGGAAAGTGGCAGCATATTTCAGTTTGGCCACAGGTCTGTGAAATGCTCCCAGGTTGGGAAGGCCTAAGTTGGGGAAAATCTGAGAGGAAAATTTTCTATTGTTTTGAGGAACCTCCAATGTTAATTTTATGCTAGGAATGCAGGGTAAAATGCCAACAAGTGAGGCAATTCACACACAATATTAGGCAGGATTAGGAAAAATATTTGACTTTTCCCCAACTTAGGTCTTGGTACAAGAGAAGGTTTTTTTTAGGTTTTCAGTGCTCATGAGCACAAAATTGCGCAAAAATAACCTGACTTTGCCACGTAAAGGTTAAAAATTGCTTCATAAATGAATTGAAAGGATGCTGAACTTGATGGATGCAATAGGGTTCATTTGCACAATCAGTGTTTTACTCCCTTTCAAAACACATCAAGGTAAACTTTTATGCCTTTTTTCCTGAGCCAATAAAAAAATACTCAAAAAGCCTAAGAAAATTTGAGTTTTGGAGGTTTCAGAGGAAAAGCTTTTGAGTTGAAGAAGTTTTTGATGCATTCTTTCTAAAGGAATTCAGACTGGAAAAAAATCACTTAGAGAGGTTCAAGTTATCAAGTAATCAAAATAAAACTAAAAGTGAACACTTGGAATATACTTTCTCTTTTGAACATAAAAAACAGTTCTTTAATGAATTATAAGCACAATTTCATTTCCAAACTTCGGAGCAAGGCTAGAAAAACTCTAGAAATGCATTTCTATTCGAAATAATTTCAGTTTCGATTCGATAGCCGACGACGAACCAATAAAAAAAAAAAACTTTCTTAATGCCAGGCAGTCAAGCATGGCCAAAGATCAGTTACTTTTATAATAATTCCAGCCAACGTCATAAAAACTCCATTTCGTTTCGAAATTTCTTTTTCGTTGCAGAACTAGAAAAAAAAGTGTACATATTTTTGGCTCAAGGCCGTAAAGCCGAAAGTTGAGCGAAGTTTGCCAAATGCTTCCGGGGGGGGGGGGACTTATAGAAAGTTGGGTGGGGAAACGTTAGGACACCAGCGCACCAATGGTATATATCCAGTCGGCCTTCGCATTCCTCAGCCCCACTTTTATTTTCTCCTCAAGCACTCATCAAAACTCAATCATAATCCGAGGTGACGTTAGCATTCATCAGAATAGTTTCACATCTTTTATATCTCTCTCCCCCCCCCTCCTCCTTGTTCCCGGGCACGAAGTTGCTGTTACAAAAATGCAGCTATTAAAGCAACAACAAAAAATGTGGACCACACCCACTCTCTTCAAGGGCCATGTTCAAAAAAAAAAGAAGAGAGAATACAAAAAGGAAAGTTATCTAGATATTCTATAAAAAAATTAATGAGTTAGTCTCTGAGAAAAAGAAAGATTTTGTGTCATTATATCCAACACTTACCAACTCAAAAATAGCCTCAAACAATTTTTTTATTCAAAAGCACACAAAATTGTATTCATTTAGAAATCATCAGGAAAGAAAATAATTTTGCAGTATGCTCTTCAAGACTGCACATTTCTACAGCACTTCAGGCAAACATTTTTCAAATACTGTACAATACTGACATAATTGTCCTGCATAAGGAATCCACTTCAGTATTGCCAAAAATCTCAGCAGTGCTTTGGACAACAAAGAAAAAGAAAAACTCCAGGCAGATACAGTAAAATCTCATTACAACAAACTTGTGGGGACTTCAGAAAAAGTTTGTTGTACCAAATAATTTGTTATAATGAGATTTTGAAAATTATTGACTGATGGAAGATTTTCTTCAAATTAGACCTGCATATATTCAACATCTTCCTTTTGTGGCCTTTTCAGATGTTTTTCATTGGTTAAAAAACTGTGATCTTCAAAAAGGAATGTAATTTTTAATAATAATAAAACAGATACTCTGAATAACAGGTAAATACTAGTATTTTTACATCCCTAGCATTTCTCAAGCATACAAACCCTTTTTAACATGAGTATATCTGGGCTAATTTTTTTTCCATCTGATTGAACATTTAGTTTCTTTACCCACACACTTATGAAATTTTAATCTCAGAAGAGCCAGAAACATATCAGTGCAAAAATCATCTCTTGCAGAGTGAAATTGGTCCTAAAAAATGACCTAAATTTTAAAAACACTGTCCACTTATAATATAGCTTGGTTATAGTGTAAAATTGAAAAAGAAAGAAACCACTGTAACAAATAAGGTGATCTCAGAGAAGGGAGAACCGCAATCAATTCACGCTAACTTGAACGCGGCCAACTCGTCGTCGCGTCACGAAAAATTGCCCCGCAATTTTCCGCCAACGCTGTCCTTAATTATTGCCATTTAACACAAATACTGTCATCGTCATGGAATCCGATCCTCTATTAAATAAATAATAGGGAGCGAGAAACAAAAATCTCGAAGTATTCCGCGGAGTGTGACAATAATTTTCCATCAGCATTGCTCTGGTAATTCCGAATTTGGCAACCGAGAAAACCAACTCAGAGCCCGCAAAATTTATTTCAGGATGGTCCTCAGCTCATTTGAATCCTAATTTCGTGTCTGCCTTTCTCTTTAATCCCATCATTATTATTTTGCTTTTGAAATCATCAGTGTTGAAAATAAGAGACACAAGAAGAAAAAACCAGTGAAGGTTTCCTTTTTCACCTAGATTTTTAGTAGTATTCTTTCTCTCTTGACTCCGAAGTTCTGGTGAATTATTATCATCAACCTTTTAATCTGATTTGTTCACTGTTCTGGTGTTGTGATTTCTTGCATGTGGATTGTGAGTTTTAAATGGTCTAAATTCTCAATTTTTGTGATTCAAAAAGCTTAAAAAATTTGAGCACAAAACTAGGAAAACATATTCAATTAGGACTGCAAATTTCCGGAATTTTATTCACCAATTTATTCTTTTGTGAGAAATCTAACTCACAGCAATCAGCAAGCTTGGCTTATTTTGAAAAACTTCAGAGTCTGAAAAAAAAACCAAGCATTAACCACTTCCTTATTGGATTGCTTCTCAACAAGCAGTAATAACTCAAAAATAAAATTAATTCACTTAATTTCGCAATGCCGTTTGATGAAAGAAAAAATCAGAATATTGTAAAATCATTCCAAATTTGTTCTTGCACTAAGGTGCCTCCCACACCCCAAAGCCGGCCCCGCCTGTCAGTATTTAAAATGTTCAAAAATGTTCCCACAAAATCTCAGGAATCCATTTGTCCTTCTTGGGCTGATAAAAAATGCTCTGCACTGCTATTCAAAGAAAGTGTATCATCACAGCACATATGAATGCATGAACTTCGAATTACCATAAAAATGTTTTCAAAGAATGCTCAAAAGCACAGCACAAGGCAATTAATGAGCACATGTCTGAAGGAAATAGTATTCAGCCTGTTGTAAAATACAGTACTTTTTATTTGATTTGAATATTTGAAAAGACTCTTCAAGGACCAATCATATGAAGAAAACGCCTTCTTCTGGCTCTCTGACATTTGGGAGAGTACCTTTTTTAATCAAGTTTTGTGACTCTTATCCTTTGAATTTTTTTCAATTCATAAAATTTGGAATGGAGCACTCTTTGCCCTTAAAATGCCAATTTTTTCACAAACTCATTTCTGCTTGATTCTATTTCACAACCTCCCATATAGGCAAGAAAAATTTTTATTTGAATGCCAGAATTTTTTTTAGAGAAAATATTGTACATTTCATTTAATTTAATTACCAAGTGAGCCTTGTGACAACTCTCTCTACAACTCTCAAGAAAGTTCTCTCTACAATGCATTTTCATTGAATATGGTTGTAGAAAGAACTATATAGTCCACCAGTGTAAAATGAAATTGACATTTCACCATTTCTATGGGTTTCAAAACGATTTTTCTCAGAGAAAAAGTGTGGGAAGTTCAAACCAAGACAAACTCAAACATAAACTTCAAATGCAATTTTGCAGGCCTCAGAAGCTAACCCAGTATAATTTTGAATTCTATATTTTGTAAATTGAATGAGACTGTTCAAGAACTTTCTCATCCCTCTTCTGTGCTTTCATTCAACATGCACACATACTCATTCAAGAAGTTTTATTGACCTTGAAGATCTGAGGGAATCAGTTTAAAGTATCAATTCAGTGTCTGGTATATGATTCCATGACAATTTACGCAAGATGATTAAAAAAAATGGAATCCAAGAATTTGAAACATAAGTATACCTTATATTTTAAAACTCATAAAAACCTTGATTGCAAACAGCTTGAAGCCAGTCTTATAGGAAAATATTCCCATGATGAAATATTGTTTCCTGTTATTAAAGATTATTATTTGTTCGGCATGCATCAAATAAACATAAAAATTCACAGTTTAAGAAATGAACTTTGTGGTTATGTATTATCATAAAATTTGTAATAAGAAAACATTTCACAGCACACTCTC